CTGGGCGACGCCCCCACTCCGCGGGAAGCGCGGGCGGCAGGGGCGGCGCGGAGAAGGGGGCAGAGGCTGGAGCTCGCGCTCCCCCGAGCGACGCTTCGCACCGAGAAGCCCGCACGCGGCGGCGCACTCGGCGCCCCGATCCTGGACTCCCCGCTTCTCCCGCGTCCCTCAAGCCGAGGCACCCCGCTCCTCACTGCGCTGCAGACAAAGGGCTGCAGGGGGCTCGCTGCAGCCCTTTCTCCACACTTTCTCTCTGCAGCGCCCGAGACAGCCCGTCACCTCGAGCCCCAGGAGCCCGGAGGGCTTAGCAGGCAGCGCCCGACCCCGCACAAAGTCGCACAGCCGCCCGCGACGCCGGGCCGGGCCGGGCTTGCAGACGGCGCCCCCGCGCGACGCGGACCGCACTGGGGCAGGGGGGCGCGCGGAGGCGGCCGGCCGCCCATCCTCACCTCCGCCGGCCGCGCCGGCCTGCAGGAGGACGACCAGGGCGAGGCTGGCGACGCCGAGGGCCCGGAGCCGCCGCTTCGTCTTCCACCTGGAGGACCACGGCTCCATCTCCGAGCTGGCGCCCGCGGCTGCGAACTCAGCGGCGACCCTGCGAGGAGTGCGGCCCCACGTCGCGCCCAGGTGCGGCCGGGCTACGCGGCCATGCAGGCGAGGGGCCGGGCGCCGGCTCTCGTCAGGCGGCGTCGCCTCCTTCCGCCCGCGCCTCGCCCCCTCCTCTCTCTCTCTCTCGGCGCCGGCCCCGCGCCCGGACCTTCGACCCTTCCCCGCCGGGCCCTGCCTTCACACTGACGGCAGACGAGGGGCTCCCACCGGAAAGCTGCGAGCGCGGCGCACCCCTAAAGGCGGCATGCCGTCAGTGGGCCGGGCGAGGCGCGCAGCCCCCTCCTCCGCCCGGCCGCACCGCCCCGCGCCCCCCGCCGGCCCGGACAGCTCGGCAGGCTGAGGGTCCCGCCAATCACCGCAGCGCGCGCACCGGGCCCGCCCCCCTCGCCCCCCGTCGGCTGGGGACTGACGGGCAGGCTGAGGGTCTTCACCCAATCACCGTCCGTGTGCGCGACCTGGGCCCGCCCCCTCTCCTGTCCCGGCCCCGCCCCCTCTCTGCCCCCAGCCGGACCGCGAAGGCCCCGCCCCCGCCCCCGCTGGCCCAGGACTGAGGAGCAAGCCGAGGGTCCTACCCAATCAGCTCCGCGCGCGCTCCGGCCCCGCCCCCTCACCGCCCCCGCCCCCGCCCCCCCAATCAGCTCCGCGCGCGCTCCGGCCCCGCCCCCTCACCGCCCCCGCCCCCGCCCGAGCTCCCCCTTGCCCCCTCCCGGAGGAGCCTCCGAACCGTGGGAGGCGGAGCGCGGGTGCGTGCGGGGCTCCTGCGCGTCTGGGGCTGAACGTGAGGCGGTTCCAGGTGCTTCTGCGCGTGGCAGGCGGGACTGCGGCCGCGCTTGGCCCAGGGGGCGGGGAGGAGCCCGGGCGGGGGGCGACGCCGCGCTGGCTCCAAGTGTGTATGTTCATCATTTTCTAATCCGTGAATAATAAAGGAATAAAGGTGCCGTGGAAGCCCTCGGAGCTCCAAGCCCGCGCGCTCCGAGCTTGCGCGCAGAGTTCAAACTCCACACCAAGTGCCCTGGGGCTCGCTCCCAGAGCTGAGCTGTGCGCCCCGGGAGGCGGGCAGAGCGATTTACGAGGGCTGACGTTCAGGGCTGAGTGAGTTAATTTTCCAGGCGATTTTCTGTGCTGATCCCGGCTGAGGGTGGCCGAGCAAGGAGAAGAGGAAGGAAAGCAGCTAGCGGACACCCCAGGTGCCTGGCCCTCGCTCCAGGCAGGTTCTTGGCTTCGGTGGAAGTAAGGCGGGGCGGCTTTCCGAGTGCCCTGTGCTTACCCCGGCCTCAAGGGAATCCTTTGCACCTGGAGTCTAGATTCCCCGGTCAGTTTTTCCACATTTAAATGATTACATCTTACTCCGTTTGTTCTTCATGTGTTCTAAGGTGTTAATTATTTAGTCTTTTTGAGAGAGGTCTGGTCTTGCTCTGCAGCTCAGGCTGGCCTTGAGCTCACTTTGTAGCCCAGGCTGGTCTCGAACTCACAAAGCCTCAGCCTCTCGAGTGCTGGGGTTTCAGACCTGAGGTACTGGTCTAAGAGAGTTTCTGGAACAATAACCAACAGATGCCCAGCATACATTAACTACTCCTGGGGATGCTTTGAATTCATCCATGCGCACACACACACACACACACACACACACACACAGCCTTGGCCTCGGCTCTGAGTCCTCATTTTACCAGGTACACACGTTTGTGTTTTGGACACTCATCTTCGGGACCCGAATTTTCTATTAGTCACCAAAATATTCTTCGTGTTCCATTCACAAGATATCTTCACATCTCATCTGCATAAGGTTGAAAAGTTGGAAGAAAAAAAAAGGCAATTGGAGGCTAACCTGTGCCCCACTGTGTAATTGTTCAACCACAAGAACAGAGGCAGATAAAATAAGGGAAGCCACTGGAAATACCTTCCGTATCAATGTCACTTTCTGTAAAGATGGACCACTCCCTCCTCAAGTTTATCTTTCAGGGCGCAGGTGAAAAAACTCCTTAATGCCTCTAATACTGCTGCCAGGATGCCTGGGATGCCTTCTGTCGTCTGCAGAGAAGTGTGGCCAGCTGGCTCTTCACGTTGCAACTTAGACTGTTAACATGACTTGAAGAAATGACTTCATAAATGCAGGTGAACCCAAAAAGTATAGTCACAAATTAAGAACCTTGCAGGGGAACTCTAAGTCACTTTACCATCTTCATTATCCTTCACAAAGAGAAAATTTGTGCATATTTGTTGTTTTCAAACTTGAAACATGACACTTTTGTCAGAATTTTATACATATATATATATATGCATGAAATTTTGGGGTCTTTTAAACATAGAATAGTGAAATGAATACAACTTCTGAAATAGATATTTGTGAGGTTGCCAGCATATTAAATCAATTCAATAGTTAGAGTTACAGTGCTAGTGGTGACAAGTAGAGATAGTATTTCAAACCGTTTCTTAATGGCTCTCTTGATTTTTTGAGCGCTTCACGGCCTGGTACTGTTGTAGGAGCTGAGAAATGATCCAGCCAAGCGAGCAGGCACTACTTGCTGGTCACATCTCGGACCTTCTCACTCCTTGTGAAAGGGTCCTTTCAGGGAAAGCGTCTTTGGTGAATAGAGTTGTTACCACCTTCTGCTTTCTGTACTGTGTGGGCTGAATTCCTCTGGCCATTGCCCAAGTAGGCATAAACTAGGTCTGGATTCACGTCTCTGGAAGGAAACAGTAGATTCATGATGAGGTATAATTATGTCTAACCTCTCTAGCCTGGAGCTAGCTGCCAGATCTAGAGTCTCCCAGAAACTTGCTCTTGGATTTTCAGAGGAGCTCAAGAAAGAAACAATAATACTGAATCACAAAGGGCAGAGAGAAAACCCAGAGAAAGTCAGCTTCAGCTGCTTTGACTTTTATACTGGGAATATCCAGGAGAACTGTTTCTGGAGCCACCTTTCAACCAGGCTTTGTTGTGCACAGAAGTAAAGCAAAATAGCATATGACAGTTTCCTTGACACAAGTCTTTAGTTTGAAGCACAATCAGTAATATATTGTCATTTTGTCACTTTATTATTTTATTTTTGGGGGGAACCGGAGATTGAACTCAGGCCCTGGCACTTGCCAGGCAAGCGCTTGTTCTACTGAGCTGTCTCCCTGGCCCCTGTTTTGTCACTTTAAAAGCGATGTGTAAAGATGTTTATTCTGCATTACAGAATTACTTTTGATTTACAAGCCTCACCAAAACCAGATTTAAAAAATAGACTAAAATTGGTTTCCTTTTTGGCAACATTTTAAACTAACCATTTGTCGATAAAGGCTTGTCACAGAAACTGAGATAACAATTTGATTATTTGAAAATTTACATGTTTTAAACAATCTTTACAATTCATGGAGCTTTACTAAGCATTATGAAAAGCTCACATACATCCCTTAATGTCTTCACAAATCTTTAGGAATCGAGAGTCTGAGATTCAGAACCAGTGTTCAAATATTGAGACTTGAAGGGAGCAAAGAGAAATCAGAGACACGATGTGCGTAGCTGGATGCCGCTAATACGGGGTCCAGGGCTCAAGGAGCAGGCTGCGCCATAGCCCTCAGCTCACTGCGGGTGAGACTTAGAGAAAGATGACTGGGCGGTAAGATGTAAGAAATGATCAGGCGTCTTCTACATTGCTTGACATTCCTTCCCCTTTTCACATCCTGGTATTTCCTACATTTTTTAACAGATGATTGATAGATATTAATTAGACATTATCTCCAAACACTTCTTAAAATCATGACTGAATAAAATTTAACTTGTTGAATACAAAATTCTGGAACAAACCAGAAATAACTAAAATATTTAAAAGATAGTTGCTTTAGAAGGTAATCTTTTCCTTAACTGTCCCTAATGGCTTTCCTTCCTTGCCCTTTGCTAAACTTCATGTAAATTATTTTAATAGAGAAATGACTAAACAGTTTGACATTCAATTTGTAGTTTTTTATGACATGAGTAATAGAAATTAGTTTTATTTAAACAGAGTTCTTCCACTTCACAGATGAACATTGGTACTGTGGAAAGGCAGGGTGGACATAAAAGAGGCTTTTTCGTAGTCTAAAAGAGCTCATAAAAATTCCGTAATGACAACTGGCTATTCAGATGTATTCTGGAATAGTTCTTAGAACAGTAGAGAAATTGAAATTTAGCCCAATTTCCATGATTAAGCAGCGTTTCAAATAAATATTTATGTCACCATGTTAAATAAATCAAGTTGGAGATGACAGACTCTCCTGTTTATAAAGACCTAATGTAAAATCAAATTTAAATGAACCCTACACTAACAAGGATTAGAACCTGCTATCTTGTTCTTATCTTTCTAAGATATCCTTTTATTCCTCCTTAAAGAAGGTATGTGTACTCATTTGCATAACTTTCCAAACAGAAGTGGAAGGAAGATAAAACAAAATGACTCAAAATAAGAACCCCACCCCCACCCCGGGGAGGAACTGTGTTGGTTGGTCAGGAGACTTTTGCTCTCTGTATCTTTTTCTCTTGTTGTTATATTGAATAGGTTTGACGTTTCATAAGTTCTTGGGAGGGCTTTATTATTAAATGTGTCCTTAAAAATATAAAATGACTTCATACGCAGTGGTCCAGGTCAACCCCAGCATCTCCATTGGTAGAGGGAGAACTATAGGTTTTAAACAGCTTAGAGAACCGTATGCCTTAGGAAAGGAGGTAGCACATTAATAACATAGAACAGTGCTGTCTTACTGTATCTGCTGTTCCAGCTGTCACTTAAATAGTACTGTATTGATTCACACTGGTCTTTCCTAGTAAAAAAAAAAAATGTTTGAGAAAGGCAAGATTATTAGTTTCTATAAAGGGAACATGTACTGCTAAGAACTTGTTCATAAAAATTTCATATATTTAAAGGGCCCAGAGGTTTGCAGGTTAGTTCAGTTGTTTAAGCGCCTGCACAGGCAAACACAGTCAGACTCAGGGGACCTCGGTTCGATCCCAGCTCCAGATGCCTTACGTGACCCATGACTAAGGCAGCCTGAGACAGCCAAAAAAAAAAAAAAAAAAAAATCTTTCTAAAGGGCCAGCCAGATAGCTCAGCAGACTAAAGCACCTGCTTAGGCAGAGCACAATGGCTAGGGTTCAATTCTCAGCGTGTGGTGCGGCCCCACTCCTGGGCATGCTGAGACTTTGTGACTGGGCGTGGTGGCGCATGCCTGTGATCCTAGTGCTGGGAGGCTGAAAGCAGGAGAATCACTACGAGTCTGATCTATGTAGTGAGACCCTGCAGACCCTGCAGACCCTGTACTAAAATTAAAAAGCAAACATATGTTTAAAATACTTAATTTGGGGAGTAAAATGATAATAAGCAAATAATTTTGACACTCTCATAACAAATAACAAATAACAAAAGACAACAAGATGAGAAATACATTATTGCACTTCCAGAGTAAGTAGGCTCTTCTTTACTCTTTGTTTCATGAATTCAGTGGCTGATGCGCACCTGTCATTGGATTTAGCAGTACCCTTCAGTTACAATAAAAGTTATTTCCAGCAACTACATGATTGGTTTGTGTGTCTACCATTTAAATCAACTTACTAAGTTCTGAAAGAAAGTGTATGTGACAGGCTCAGAATATGAACATTCATGCAAAGCAGATTTGAGAATCATGCAATATTTCTTGTTTAATGTGAGTCATATATTCCAACGCAAATGATAAATATAAGATAGAAAGTTGAAAAATATGGTTAATACCATAATCTAAATGTTAAAACATCTGTCTTAAATAACTCCAACGTAATTTTTAAGATTCTCAATATTTAATATTCCACTCTCCAGTCTCTGACAGGCCTGATGTGGTTAAATCATTGCACATTAAATGTTAAAGAAATAACAAACAGTACTTCACAGAGATTTTCACGACCTACCCCACAA